GCGTGACCTCTGTGAGTTGTGCGCCAAGGGCCGCGTGACCTCTGTGAGACGTGTGCCAAGGGTAGCATGACCTCTGTGAGTTGTGCGCCAAGGGCAGCGTGACCTCTGTGAGTTGTGCGCCAAGGGCAGCGTGACCTCTGTGAGTTGTGCGCCAAGGGCACCGTGACCTCTGTGAGTTGTGCGCTAAGGCCCGCGTGACCTCTGTGAGTTGTGCGCCAAGGGCCGCGTGACCTCTGTGAGCTGTGCACCAAGGGCCGCGTGACCTCTGTGAGCTGTGCGCCAAGGGCCGCGTGACCTCTGTGAGCTGTGCGCCAAGGGCCGCGTGACCTCTGTGAGCTGTGCGCCAAGGGCCGCGTGACCTCTGTGAGACGTGCGCCAAGGGCCGCGTGATCTAGGCTGTGACGCATGCCAAAGACCATGTGCGCTATGCCGCGATGCCATAGACTTCATATGAATCTTGATACACGTCGCAGCAGAGGTCACATGGTCTCTGGGACACAGCAGAAGACAGCAGTCAGAAACACACTGATTTTTATAAACTACAGCATGCTGTGTCTCTACACACTATTCTATTCGAGACACCTGTGACCCTCCAATGAGATATACAAAGAGTTAAAAAAATCATCATCCCCTATCCCAAATACACATGCTCTACCAGGATTCCCGACGACAATTCTGAATGCATCCAGATTTTTGGAAACCAAGCCGTATTGATAAGTCCTGGAAAACATCAAACAGCTTTGACAAAACTACCCAGAAAGGATAGTTAGCAAGCTCCTGTAACATAAAAAAGGGAATTGCACACCGTATACCATTCTGAAATGCAGAGGTGAAAAGGTTCCCTGCTGTCTGAAAGGAAACAAAATCAGCCCCATAGATGAAATTCTCCGGCGTCTTTGGCTACATAAAAGAGGTGACCAGTGTTAATTAGTGCCTTAAATTGCTGGGTTACAGTTTCATTACCTCTGGCTTGGCTTAAGCAGTATAACAGGCTGAAGGAGAAGGGGGTTGGTGCATCCAATCTGTGGTAAAATGAGCCATGAACAGCAGCTGTGTGGCCGAATTGGTTTTCACTCACCTGAAGACCGCTGTTCCCGTCTCGAGTAATACGCGTCCCCAGTTTCGACTAAATTGAAACCGATCCTCATTTCGTTGCGCTTTCCAACAATAAAGGGGCCTTTCTGGCTCGCTGTCTCCTGCGGCACCCCCCCAACCCCCCCCCCCCGCCTGGCGTGTGAGAGAGGGGCATTGATTTTCAATACCGGCTTTAATAACCTTCAAAATGGGTTGATCAGCATGGGTATTAACTGTCGGATCTTGGTGACAGAATTGGTCTGACTCTCGTCGAACAAGATTGAGGAGTCGCAGAGCCGCGAAGATGGGGCCTGATCTCAGAGCCAGCTGGCTGAGATGCAAACCAGTGGTCTAGAGACACCAGGTCAATAACTGCATGACAGAGTCGTGTTGGCTCCGTGTCGCTCTGAAGTGTGTTCTGGGCTCATTAACGCAGCGGATGAAGGTATCGGCTTAGGGAAGAGGCCTTTCTCCTTGCACCCGATAGCCAGCATCTGTGGCACTGCTGGCGTTAATGAGCCTAGACCGCGGGTCAATAAGTTGCTAGCCTCCGAGTCAATAACACTTACCGGCTACACAAACATTCAAAACCTGCTTTTGTCTGAAATCAATGTCGCATTTGTGGGTTTTTTTTTTCCACCTCAATCCCATCGATTCACATACAAAAAAATGCTTCTGTTTAACTTACAGGGTATACAAAATAAATGAGGAAAAATATATCAAGTGCCCTGTCATGCTTAATTAGAACAAGTGAACTTGCTCACACACTGTGATAACAATCGCCTTGCTCTGTTTTCCTGGATGACATGGGAGCTTTCTTAAAAACAGAACTACAAAGCAAGACCTCTCATGTTGATTTAATGTGTGTATATTATCACTTACTCCCTAAGATAAATTCCACTAAAGTTCAACAGGGCTTGCCATAATCTTTAGAAACATCTGAGACTGGAGTGTTTTCTAGCTTTCTTTTCATACCAAGTGGTGTAGCCAACTCTATAACAGCTTCAGTTTAGGTGACCTGCCCTTGGGTGCTCTTCAACCGAGGAACAGCCAGACCGCAGTACCAGATATCACCACAATGAGTGCCTCTGACTGAAGTTCCTGATCAATCTGAGGGGCTAAAGGCTGCTATTGAGACACCTTCCAGTATTCACTGGGACAGGAAATCAATAGCTTAAGGGGGTAGAAATTAAAGATACACACAGGCACCAAAACTAATTAGAGGCCAAACAGGAATACTTGTTTGGACAGTAGTATAGAAATCAAAAAGGTCGCCAAAAATAAAAGGTCTCCTGCAATCATGTTTGGTCCAACCACTGCAAAATTAATGTTGCACATTTAAAGGCATTCCAAAACTGCTGATTAGAGCATACTCAAAGTACTTAATCACTGTATGAACCACTAAAGAACATTAACAACCAACACAAAGTTTAATGTAGTAGATACGAAGCCGAGCAAACACCAACAACAAACAGAGCCTTCATTTAAGGGACGCCACATGCTGCAGATATTAGATCCGAACTTTTATTTCTTCATTTTTTTTTTAAAACCATGAATTTTGTTTTTCTTTTTTTTTTGCACGCCTAAAACTCTACTTGTTTCGTATACAAGAGTCTAAGAAAAACACCGCACAACACCACAAGGTCGACAGAGAAAGTCTGTTGCCGTCCAATCAAACAGTGTCTTCCTTTTTTGTCTGTTTCTCTGGGGCTACAAGGCTCTTTTGCTTCATGTAATGTTATATCTCTGGTCCGGAAGTCTTTTTTTTTGTATTCTTTTAAGTAATAAAAAATAGATCATGTGTTTCCATGTTCCTTATTCTCCATCTGTATCTCCAATAGTTTTCATGCCACATATTCATTCGTCTGCCTGGTTATGCCACCACCACTTTGCATAGATCGATGTTTCTGTAACAATGGTCCCTCCCTTCTTCTGGAATCTGAACTGAACATCCCTCTCCTGTAACTATGGTATTAAATTGGTAAGTGGTTCTGTTTAATTTTTTTTTTCTAGAAACATTTAAAAAGCCTAATAAATTTACATTTCTCTTTGTTCCAAGGAATATCAACAAGATATTTACATTTTTTTTTTACACAGAAACCGAATAACAGACCTCGTAATATGTGGTTTTTTTTTCTGCATATCTTCATAAGGCGAAAACAAAAATCATTTAATGTAACTTTGTACATTTGTCATTTTTCTGAGTTATTTCCAGGTATCAAAACATGGTTAAAAAAAGGGACAAACGAAATAATTAAAAAAGAAAAACCAACTCCCCATGTAACTGTGGGCTCCAGCAGCGTGTCTCACAGTGAACTGGGATAAATTAAAAAAAAAAACGAAACAAAAACAAAACGTACGCGTGAATACGGGGGAAAAAAATACAAATCCATATAAATGACTTCTATACAAGGAAAGAGAAAAAGAAATGTACAAACTGATTTCAGGATTTCAGGAGTGAAAAAGGAGCCGATTAATATATTAATCTCAAGTTTTAAGTTGGCAAAGAAAAGTTCAGACGTACTGGGCTCGCACTGTTTTAAGCTGTCCTTTCCTGTGCCCCTTGCCATCACCCTTCCCTCGAAACAGAAGCAGGAAATGTGCTTCTTCTGCCTCGCAACCGTTTTTTCTGTCGCCTTGCCTCTCTCGCCGAAAGCAGCGCCTCTCCGCCTTTTCAAAAGACCGCGGGAGGACAAGTCCGGGCCCGCTCGTCGGAGCTTCTGCGCCGAGGGAAGCTACCGGGCTTCCACTTCTTTGGGATTGCGGGAAGGAGAGTAGTCCCGGGGGTCGGGGGCGGTGAGGGGGGTAGTCCTTCGGGGCGAGGCGGGCCTGGCGCTGCCGGCGGGCACGAGGGGCGGGGGGGCGCTGAGGGCGGCGGTGGGCGGGGTCCGGTTCAGGATCCCGTTGTGGGCGGCCGAGGGGCTCAGTCTGGGGTAGTGCATGCCGCCCAGCGGGGTCATGAAGGGGGGCATGTGGGGGAGGTGGCCCTCCATGGGCGACTGGTGCAGCTGGTGCAGCCGCGCCCTGTCCAGCTCCTCGCGGAGGTGCATGCGCTCCCTCTCCTCCGCCTGCCGCAGCCTCTCGTGCTCCCGCCGCGCCTCCAGCAGGTGCTCGTGGTGGGAGTAGTCGTGGGGCTCCCGGTCTCGGTAGGCCCGCTCGGGCTCGTACACGGCGGGGAAGCGGTGGCCCTGCTCGGCCCGCAGCTGGAAGTCCATCCGGCGCTGCAGGTCCAGGCTGCGGTACGCCTCCCTCAGCGGGTCCCAGGGGAAGGCGTGGTGGGGGAGGCGCTCGCGGCCGGCCGCCAGCGGGCTCACCCCCAGGAAGGGGGCCACCCGGGTGCGGTCCAGCACGTTCAGGCTGCCCACGGGGTGCATGCCGCCCATGGAGATGGGCATGGAGTGGGGCAGGTGGACGCCGTGCAGGGACCCCGGGCCGGGCAGGTCCGAGCAGCGAGGGGGCAGCTGCGGGTGTTGGGGCAGCTGAGGGTGGCCGTGCTGCAGTTGGTGAGCGGGGGCCTGGGAGACGGCCGGCTCCGAGCTCACCAGCAGCACCTCCTGGTCCTCCTTGCGCTCCTCCTTGATCTTCAGGTCGCTCTTCAGCTTGTGCAGCGGCTCCCCGCAGGGGGGCTCCTTCCTCTCGGCCTCCTTGAGGGACGCCGGGGGCCCGCCTCCCAGCTTGAGGCCGGGCTCCGCCAGGACGGGCTTGCCGTAGGGGGACGGGGGCTGGTGGGCCGGCTTGCAGCTGTCCTCGGAGGAGCGCCTCTCTTGGCCCTGGGCCTCCTTCCCCGGCGAGCGGCTCTCCTTCACCTTGACGTCGCCCAGCAGCGCGGCCTCCCGCTGGCGCTCCAGCAGCTCCTTCTCCGTCTCGCGGGCCCGGTCCACGCTGCCGCTGAGGTGCCGCCCCGAGTCGCCGGAGCTCTGGCTGTTGCTGCGGATGAGGTTGCTGATCTGATAGCTGACGGGAGCGGAGGCCGGCGAGGACCTGTTGGAGTGGCGGTTCCTGTCCAGAGATTCTCTGCAAGAGACGCCAGCACCACATGACGATACACGCGTCTGGATTGCAGACCAGCAGAGGTCAAGTCTTCCAATATACAGTAAACCCTCAGCTTAACAGACCAATAGAGGGAAGGGGTGTCGTGATTTGCCTGGTGAATGATGTTTTTTCAGATTCAAATCACACTATTTTATGAGATTTACATATATTGTATATGCTTTAACTTGTTTTAACAAATTCAATCAACAGTCAAGAAAAATTGTTCCTGTGACGTTTTATCACAATTAAACAAGCTCTTTATTGCATGTATCTGAAATATACTGTTTAAAATGTGAAATTAAATTAAAATTAAAATGGAACCCAAAAATACCCATCGTAAGCTACTGACTGACCTATTCCTATAGGGCAGCAATGATATTCCTGAATTTTAAACTACATAGTATTTATTTTTACCTTGTTATATTACTTGTGCAAAGTCAGGAATTTCTGATTTCACAAATTAAACCATAAAACCCTGGGTTTACTGCACTGAGTTAACTAAAAGCACATAACAGCAACTGAAACAAGAGTTCATGTGTTTTAGCAGAAGAGGGGAAAAAAACCTGTGAGAAACAGTTCTATTTTTGACCCCAAATAAACATGTAAAAAAATAACAAGAAAGCACTCAGACAAAACCGCAGGGACAAGTACCTGTGCAGGTAGCACTGAAAATGAGGGCAGTCCACTCTTTGCATGCCCGGAGTCTGTACTGACCTGTCTTTATCCCTCTCCTCTTTCCCGATGGAGGGCTCCCTCTTTTCCGACTCCCTTTCTCTCTCCCGCTCCCTCTCTCTCTCCCTTTCCCGCTCCCTCTCCCTCTCCCTCTCCCGGTCCCGGTCCCGGTCCCGGTCGTGGTTGGTGACCGAAGAGCTGCGCTCCATGTCGATGGACTTCGGCCACTGCGGGGGCGTGGGGAAGGAGGGGGGGGTGCGATGGAGACGGTTCCACGTGTCGTGGTGGGGGCTGCTGAAGCCGGCCAACCCGTGACCCTCCTTCGGTCCAAAAACGCTGTTGGAGGCTGGAACAGACAAGAAGGGGAGGTGGGGGTCAAATGTCAAGTGGGTTAACTTGTGCTTCATGGAAGCCTGTGTCTCCCACAGGCAATGGAGCTGCAGAACACGCTATTGCTCAGATCCTGTTGACACTGATGCTTGTACTCGGAGCTCTGCTTCCACACGGCGCCGACAAAAAGGCTATTCCTTGCTTCAGCTCTGCGGTTATTGATTGCTGACAGGGGGATGGCTTCGGCTTTACACAAGCACTGTTCAGGGACAGTGGAGGAGCTCAGTAAATCCTTTGTGCAGTTTCAATGCACCTCTCCTGGGAAGGCTGTGAGTGATCGACCCATCTGACGCAAGGCATCGCACTGCATCTGTACTAAACTGCTCTGCAGGCTCCGAGCCGCCCACAGAGGGCACGGAGGGCTACCTCAGCTGAAGGCACTCGCCCTATTTCACAACCTCTACACGACACCGGGGTGAATCGACTCGCAGGGGAGATCTTCCTCCTCACGGGCCTCGCACAGAGATGCAGGTAGCACAGAACTCGACCAGACCAAGCTCTGGGCGGGTCAGGGCCAGGTTCCGGTATTTTTCCGGTGAAAGAAAAACTGGGATTTTGTCAAAACTGCCAATGGGGTACTTTTTTTTTTTAAAAAAAAGGCAAATAGGGGGTCATCACTATCCAGTTTAACAAACCCGATGGCGGATGTGACACCGTCTCTTGCTGGAGAGGTGATCCGTTTTCTCAGCTGTGGCTTGGCGCTTGCTGGAGAGCGCGGCGCCTGTCTATTCCTTGCCCTCGCTGTCCCGAGCTGTCCCGAGTGGATCTGCTCTGTATTTAGCCAAGGGTGAAAGCAGGCGCTTACCGAGCGAGGGGTTGCCTAATCCGCCGAAGGCACTGCTTGCAAGGTTGCCGAGACCGCCAAAGGTACTGGAGCGACTGAAAGGATCTGCAAAACGCCAAACAGGGATTAGCGCCAGCAGGGAGAGGGGCCGGCCGGGGAAGGGTGGCGCCTCTTCCTGGAGGGAGGGGGGACGTCTTGCTCTGACTTTAGGTCTCGAGACGGGCTTTTATAAGAGCTGTCCCAGCCAGTTTCCGTTATCCCCAACCAGGCTTCACGTTCCTTTCTTAAATCAACACTTGTTAAATCAAGTCAGGTTCCTAATGTGGCACGGCGAGCGCTACACAAAATCTTTCATGCCTCTTGGGCAGCTGTGTGCGCTACACCTAGAATACGAACCGAAGGACTAAAGACCAAAAGACACTGGACAACGTCAATGCTCAGAAATCACCACTTGTTACGTGTTACTTCTCAAACTGATTTTGAGCTCCCTCCAATCGGACCGAGCTTCTAACAACATACATCCTGTATCTTATGCTTTCAAGGTTAAGGATTTCAGACCTTTCCCAGAGACTACCAGATAACGGTGGAAAATTGTTCAGCTGTCACCCTCCCTGATTGCGGCATTCCTTCTTCAGCTGCCTCTGGAGAGCTCCCTCTCCAGAGTTTGTATCTGTGCCTTTTCAGTCCAGCTAAAACCTTATTTCTTTGAGCTGGGTTTTTCTGTACCATCAAGTGTGACAGAGGACATTTGCTGCCTAAAAGCTCTGTATGAGTCAACATTGTGTTTATACACCAGTTTGTGAAAAGCTTTGGGAATGAGGAAACGGGTTATTTAATTATTCTCAGCTATACACAGGATTAGTTAGGTCTAGATAAACAACATTAATCTTTATATCATGTTAAGGGGTTTGTCCAAGGCTATCTCTTCCAAGTTCTGTTGTAAATATTACAGAACTTAAGAGTTCTGTATTCCAGTTCAGCTGGGTTCCACAGAAGAATGTCTGGATAAAGTGTTGAGCGATTTAATTCCCAATTCAGAAATTTCTGTACTGTTCAGTCCAAATGGACAAGTACATAAGGGACTGGGTGACCGAGTGACCTTATATGTTAGGTTTGGGGACATTGTCGATGCTCAAGAGCTAAAACTGTAGTGTGTATCGTGGACATCTGCATCTGTATTAAATTTCCAACTTAATTCCTTTTGCTTGCAAATCAATCTGTAGATGACAGCAAATCCGCAGGACGACCCTTTATTTCTGAGAACTTCATTGTGCTTTTCTGTCATTAATGCCTCTTTTATAACACGCATTTTGAAAACTCAAAATGCATTCATTTTCACACTGGTAGTTCCAAGCTCGTCAATTCAAATCTTTACAATTTACAGATGAAATGGAACAAATTAAGGATTATGAAAAGTCACAAACACCCAGAATGACTCATATTATCTTTTCAGTAAATGGATAACATACAATAAAAAAAATCAACTAAGAAAATAGATAGTTTCTATAGGGATCTGGCAGAAGAATCCCCAAAAATGTCAACCTAAGGTAGAATATCCCACGGTTGCATGGATCTCTATCTAAAAATGACCTGAAATGGGAGACTAACTTTAAATAACACTGAAGCATAATATATCTCCTGTTCTAAAAATGACTAATACTGCAGCACTGTTAACAGAGCACAGGTGGATATATAGAGTCACCAAAGCATTAAGACCTTTTAAATAGCTGCTCCAAACAGCCTGTAGCTAACGCATGACATGGTGCTCTTCAAGTCAGAAGCCATGACCGGCAGCTGAAAAGCAAAACGTTTTCTCGGGTCGTCCCATTTCAATGAAGGAACTCTCAGACTCTTGTGGGCACCATGGTCTCCCAATCTCTGTACCCCAACGATGCTATACTTGCCCCCCCCGCGCATGGAAGACATGTCAAAATAAAAAAGAATGTGAAGAAAAAGCCGTATGAACGTGGTGTTACTTACACTTACCTGCCAGGTGCGCCGTGGGCAGGAAGCTGCTGTGGTGGGGGGCGGGGCCGTAGGGAGATGTGGCCGGATGACCCGAACCTGTATGAGGAAGAACCACACTTCTTAGTGCCGCCGAGCCAGGAAAAGGCAGCAGGCCATGACCCATTCAGAACATAAGAACATTTACAAATAAGAATAGGTCATTTGGCCCATCTAGTTCATTTGGTAGTTAACAGATCCAAGGATCTCGCCCAGCTGTTGCTTGAAAGAAACCAGGCTATCGGTTTTGACAGCTTGGCTGGGTATCTTGTTTCAAACTGCCACAACCCTTCGGGCAAATACGTGCCTCCTGTGCTCCCTTTTGAAATGCACTTCCGTGTAGTTTCCACGTGTGCTCTCTGGTTCCCGCTTCACTGACTTTGTTAATATCTTTGGGGACTTCTGAGTACTTGTATCAGGTCTCCTTGTAGTCCTCTCTATTCTAGACTAAAACGGTTCTGTTCCATCAGCCTGTCAGGCTTTTGTACATTTAGAAGATGTAAATAATATGCCAATATAAACATCCAAGTCTTTTCTGTAAGGGGATACGAGAAAAGCACTGCACCCTTGTAAAAGCCCCAACCTATTTTACAATACTTGAATCGAGGTCCCACAGGCAATGAAATAGTCAGCCTTTAACCTGAAATCGGTTAATCACTGACATATTCTTTAGTGTCTTCTCAACGTACAGTTTCTTAGAACAGCTAAGTCTCATTTTGAAGTGGGTCTAGAAGCTCAAGGGAGTTTTGCTCTGGGAGTCTTCCTGTTAGGGTGTAGACAGTTATCCTTTGCGGTGGCCACATCCTGATCACAGGTTGAAACGCAGATCAGAGCGTGCTGCTCAGTGTGGGTCTTTTGAAAAGGGGCTGTTTCGACATGGGAAAGTTATTCATCAGAAATGAAAAGGGAAGGTGGCTGGGTCCCAGTGAAAGCTGCAGTACTACGGCCCTGTGCCAGCAAGGCCTGAGCGATCCTCCCAGCAGCAGAGCCGAGCCGAGCTCTAGGTGACAGGACTGATGGCCTGCTGGTCCCGAGGGGTTTTGGGAAAGGGGAGAGGCGTTAACAGATGAGAGGCGTCTCAAAAGGCGACGGCTGACAAACGCTTGCGCTGGGACAGAACGATAGAGGAGGCCCTCTGGAGACAGCAGGCTGCTAACAGACAGAGGGCCTGGCCCCACAGGCCCCTAATACTTCATCAGGACAGCTGGGGCTGGCGCAGCGCCAGCAGCCTTGCCGCTAATGAGGTGGGTCGACCCCCCCTGAGCTGGGGGTCTCCGAGGGGGAAGACAGGGATAAGGGCTTCATTATGGAAGGAGGAGGGGCTGACATTCTCTCCCAGAGGTCAGTCCTTACCAATAAGGCCCACCCCCTTCCACTGTATAGCTGACCTCACACCATTAATGAGACAGACAATCGCAGGCACATTACTACACAGTAATGGATAATTGTAAGTCAAAGGGCAACTGTGAACGGCTGTACGTTAGTGAGCCTCTGGCTGCATCATCATCCATTATCACACACAACCTCTAACTCCACACACTTTTCTTGAAAGAGGCTAAAATACACCATCAAAGCCCTTTCACAATCGCCACGCAACACCCAAAACAACAAAATAAAACTTCACTTAAACACTCCGGGACCACTGTTACAGAGCTGCGTCTGCAGAAAAGTCCTGGTCAGCTCTCAAGTCATGCTCACCTGACTTCTCCCTACCTGGAGCTGTGCTCTGAAAGCGCTTCCCGTCATGAACCCTAACGAACACCTACAAGCCTGTAACATCATCTGCACTAATGGCTAGAAAGGAGGATGCATGTTGTGTCGTGTTTATGAATGAGCTATTGTACTGTTTTTTAGCTTCTTTCAGGCAGAGTGTCTTATTTACATTCTCAGCACCTGATCTCCAGCCTGGAAATTGACACATGTCTCACGAGTACTAAGACACTGGTTAATTTAAAGCAGAGAATAAAAGGGGGCACTACCCCTGTGCCCTGGGGCTCCCCAAGCATAGCCCTCAAGGGAAAAAGCCAGCAGATTTTGCAAACCTCGTTAAATCCACAGAAGCACAAGACCTCAGGAAGAGGGCTAAACCAGCACAAATAAGGCTTAATTGGACCAATTTCAAAGGGGGAAAATGAAACACCCACATGACCTTCCACAATTTGTTAGGACACATTTTGAAAAAGCAATTAGCTGCCATGCGCACTGGAAGTACAAAACAAATGTGCAAACGCATCTGCAAATTATCTCCGCCAATGCAACTCTCACCCGTCCACGGTGCCTTTGAGTGGCGCTAAGATCAGATGGGACAGGGAGATGTGTGCATGATAAGGTGTGTGCACCGACAGCCAAAATGAGCCCTCTTGCAATCAACAGCCATCAAAATGAATCTTTAAGTCACAATCTTCAAGAATGAGATTATTGAACGGAATACAAAGCAGAATGACTGAACAGCCCCACTACAGGAACTCGTGTTGCTCGGCAGTTCGAGTCAATTCGGCCTTTAAAAAGCTGCAGGCTCTTGTGCACACCTGGTGCCAAGTGTGCCATATGCGTTGCCCTTGTTTTGGTGAGGTTTGTATCAACGTAGTTAAAGCAAGGTGAAATGCGTTCTCGTTTACCAGATTCAGCGGCGTGGTTTACACTAGAACCTGCAGCTGACACAAGCTGATCTGCTGGGAGACGGGAGTTCGGGAGTTCTCCTGCGTCTCCCCCCCGAGGGGCCCAGAGGCAGGCCGGGGGTCCGTCTCACCTGTCGAGGAGAAGAGCGGCCTGGCCAGGTCGTGAGGGTACGGGAATCCGGGGAACACCCCTGGAGCCGGAGGCCGGCTGAACAAGTCCAGCTTCCCGTTCATGTCCAGCTTGTGAGGGTCCAGCTGCATCTGCTGCAGAGAACAAGAGAGAAGAACACGAACACACCCAGGTTAGAAAATCCAAAGTTAAAATAAAGGACGTCGGACTGTCCGTTTCAGGCGAGGGCAGTGAAATGTGCGGATGACTGAACTGACCCTTCCCATCATAGCTGATGGCAGATATAAAAATCGAACTAAAGTACATGACAGGGCAGGAGAAGACTGTCTATACAGGGTAAGGTCCCACAGAATTTTCTGGTGAAAAAAGTTTTGCCACGACAAAACTACATAGTGTCCTTTGGATTGTTTCGGTCTTTAACACATACGATTCGAAAACTGTACCATCTTACCTTCATTTTCTGCTGGTGGTGGTAAATTTGCCAGGCAATCTGGACATGAACCGCACACCATTTACCGGGTTTCTAACAAGGGAAAACACACAGGAGGATTAGAACACGTCTAGGGTTTCTAAATCAAGGGGCGATACCAAATAGGTTCAAAATAGAAAATAGTCTTACTCTGACAGACGTCCTGAATGGATCCGATACCTGTGTTACAAAAAAGAAATTAAGTACTGAACCTTCCACACACAAAAAGATAATGGAGCATCTGCTACATTAAGCCATTACAGTTTTTGCACGGCAAGTGTTTAGTCTGGTGTTGATTATTAATCTGATCTGAATTCATAAACCACGCTGAAACAAAAGGAATCCTTCCAAGTCCCTTTTGCTACTTCTCTCTCCTGTGCCCTTCTAAATCTGTGATGAAATGCTCATGGTGCACAAACTCTCACTCCAGACAGGACACACTGACTCACCCGCGGGTCCTTCTGTAGCAGCGTGTGTGGTACTGCTCCGGGTCGCGCTGCTACGTCAATGGGATTGGAGGCCTGTGAGAAAAGAGGGCCGGAGAAGTGGATTACAGTTCACAGATGGAGAAGCGCTCAAGTCAGGGTAACCTGCATCCCCTCACACCCAGATCAATGACTGAGACATCACAGCATTGTCATGTTCATGTACAGTTGTTCCAAATATACAGCTTGATGCATAGCTTTCCATGCAGAGAAGGAGGCAAATTTTCAGACACAAATATATTAATGGGCATGTGTTTGGGTCACAGGCAGCCCGAGTTAAAGGGGAACTGCATTCCCAATGAACTTTGTGAAAGTACTGTACAGTCTCCATTTTGTCACAAAGAGTTTGTGAAGCAGCCCTTCCTGATCACTAGTCACCGTAATGACTAATGTAATGCGATGTCCGAGTGAATAAGTACATGCTGTGCGGCAGGCATTTCATCACAGAAATGTTGCAATGTGATCTGCATGCAGAGTTCACTAGTAAGTATCATTTCTCAGCAAAACTGTCTCGAAGGTGAGAGCAGTATTTCTGTTGGATTAAAACAGATGTATTCACAAGCCTGCTTCTTTACAACTGAAATGTAATAAGTCACCTGAAGTTTTGTTGCCTCGTTCTGAATCACAGAATATGTTGCTGTGCATACCTGTACCTGGAAATGTTGTCTATTTAGCGATGTAAATTGGAGTGTTTACACATTACTGTGCACTTTTTACTTTCAGTGTGGTCTGAAATGCATTCGTCAACTCCGATTCTTTGCAACCCCGATGTACACAAACAGCGGCACAGTTCCCCTTTAAAAATGAGGGTGAACAATTGCCAATTCTGCCTGTTTATCTGTTAATTATCAATAGCAGGGCGCTTAAGACAGCAAGAGTGCTGTACTACTGCGAGGTGGAGCAGTGCGGTGCAGTGCTGTGCTTGAGCAGGCAGTGTAATTTGCCCCGGTATGGTGGGGAGAGGCTGAGAGAGCCCCTGTTGCCTGTTCCTAAGCCTTGTCCAGCAAGGCGGGATGGTGCCTGTGAGCAGTTTAGCGGTTGAATGGAAAGGCTAACTGTACAGTAACGATGCGGGATGCAGAAGCTCACAACAAAAGGCCTTAATAGAGTCCGTGGGGGATCAGGGCAGAGGATTTAGGCCAGCTTTCATCCACAAGGTCGGAAAAACTGGGAGCGAGCCAGGCCCTGTCTGTCACAGTTCACTTGGCTGCTTATCTTGTGTGTCGCTGCTTATTGCTGTTAAAGCCTGGCTGGCTTAACTCCTCATTTGCATGGCGGTTATAGCCTATTATTTTGGAATGGAATTTCTGGTCTTTGCACCCAAAACACAACGGCAATGCCTTTTAATTCAAAGTTCAATTAAGCGATTAATATTAAAACCAAAAGGCACCCTTCCTTCTCGACAAAAAGGGAAACCACCGATTTCTCGCTGTATGAGTACGGCCAGAAGACTTGGGAGCTACTGAAAAAAGAAAGCTCATGTAGACTGAGAATGCAAGACCAGGGACAGGAGCCATACAGCAAAGGGGAACTGATAAATGTACGGTATTTAGGGCAAAAGCTTTTGTCTTTATATTATTGGAGGAAAAGGGCATCAAGAAAAAAAACTAACGATGTCCTAAAAGACCACTGCTACCTGCCGTGGCTCATACAGGTGAAGTGGCAAATATGTGATACAGGTTTGAGGCATTGAGCTCTTCGTTCATAAGGCCATTCCAAATGTAAGGCCTCACGTTTGGAAGACATGAGCTTACCTTAGGCTGGAAGGCTCCCTGGAGAGAACTGAAGGGTCCTGTATGTGGAAGCAGAGGAGGCATTCCAGGCATCGTCGGAGGGTATGATGGAAAAAACTTGAGACAAACAAGAGAGGAGACATCCGTGTTACAAGAGGCAGTACATATAAAGCTAAGGCATCTATAAGCCTAAAATAAACTTAATGAACAGACGCACTTTGAGAGTAAAGGGCTTTTCTTTCTGTTTTGCGCATCATAAGTTTTTAGACTGTAGCACACCCCACCCTAAAAAAAATCTACCAGGTTAAAAAACATACAATGATACCTCCATTTGTATAATCATTTTACTCTCCTTAAAGTATACCTCTGTTCTTCTCATTCGCTTTAAATCATTTCTGCATCAAAATAATATATCTACAGCACTGGTTTCTCAAGTGATCAGAAGAGCTTTCAGAAACAGAAACAGTTGGTCCCAAACAGCTGTGCACCAGCCAAATTAAGGAGCTGGTGGAGCACAAGACTGCAATAGAGTCAGCTGCAGGAGCCACAGGTTAAGTAGCTTGGCGATTAAACAGAGCAACAATCGCTTCGTGAGGACCCTTCGGCAGAATGACAAGAATGAAAAAACTGTTTGAGTTCTAGGGGGGCCGCAGGCGGTGTCTTACATTCGAGTGGCGCAGGAAGGGGTTGTCCAGTTTGGGTGCGTACTTCTCGAACTGCAAAACCGAAAGAGACAAGAAAATGAGAATGAGCAAGTCCCATCCCCGACACCTTTGAATGTCTTCGTGGCACCCACATGAGCAGTTACAGAGCATACCAGGAAGCCATTTTTCATTAGGAAACGTTGTCAAAAGTTAAGCAGCAATTAAAATGAGCTTTTGCACAGAGATCTGCACAGAGGAACCAAAAAATGGAAGGATTAAATGATCATACATTTGAAAGTACAGTACATTCACAGAGCAGCGCAGTGCTTTGGACCCACAGGAAAAAAAAAATCACATTCTTCAGCTGCAGACAAACGGCAGTGCAGAGGTTTACTTGGCAGGGAAATATCTCTTTGACAAATGGCATGGAGATTTGATTAGCAGTGACGTACAGCTGTACATATGAAAAATAACATTTTTGTCAAATCACACAAATGCAAAGTGGAACGGCATCAAACTCCTGTCTTTCTTGATTTCAGCCCAAGAATGCAAGCAATTCTCAGACCCCTGCAAATCAAATATTTAGAAAGGCTGATGTTTCCGCCTTGAGTGTCTATTAAGCTGAAACTTGCACTTAAAGACATAAAGTACTTTTCAGTTTCACACAGCAAGAATGATTTCTTCTGCTTCGCAGGGCTTAGTGAAGCGACACAGCGTTCTGTGTAATATTCAGGTCGGCACACAGGCGTATTGTAAGATGTTAAGTTTGCCAGAGGTGGATTTTGCCCAAGAGGAAGAACATGTGGCAGCTACAGTCTGCTAGGTTTAAATTTACAGCACAGAAAACCCTACATAATAGCCCGTTTTTGTCCGGGAAAAGGGACTTTTACTGATTAAAAATTATTACGTTTTAAAGCTTAAAGTGAAGGAACTCCCTCTTAAATACTTTCTGCCACATAAATTCCAAAGAACCAAATTAACATCATTTTCACTTGTACGCATTAGAAGGTGCCAGAAATTTGCCAACGATATTTGAGCATGGATCTCTCTAACGATTGGGTCTGGAATGAAAAAACTGATTCAGGGCTTCTATCAGGTATTCATTCATTCATCAAAAAAGGAATGCAAACTGTCAGAAGCCGTACAAGGAATCGTTTCTGGCTTATAAGGATTTGTGCCATAAAACTTAACAACCGAGCACTGTGTGTTAAAATAATGTACAGCTAAGGAAATGCAAATGTAGCAGGCAGGAGATACAAACTGGCACTGGAAGCTTGTGGGACTCATCTTCTCAGGATGAGACTGCGTCATGCAATCCATTAAACACAGACATCCCTAGCCGTCCGGACTGCTCAGCCTAGGATGTGAACAGGCAGACTATGGGCTTCTTAGCAAAAGCATGTTTTCTGGGCTCTCAAGAGCCCACCACTTAAAATAACAATATAAAACGAACAAGTTGAGATTTTAAAATCAGGGAGAAAGGCAGCAAGGTTTGTAAATGTTTAATATGATCTAGGGAGCAGAAGGCTTGTGCAGCTGGCACAAGCTGAATCCGTGTTAAGGAGTGCAATGTTAGGTGCAGAGAGAGCAAGGAGGCCTTTTCTGTCCATGAATAGCAACCTTGTCACCTCGCTGGAAGTTAACACTGTCCTTTTTCAACTGGACTAGCAGCAACCGACAGCACCTTATTTCTATTACATAAATACACAAACCATTTACAGGTACTTTTTACTCCTGTTTGCGAAATGGCTTTGGCAGGGGCTACTGTCTGGAAAAGGGCATTAAACAGTGAAGCTGTGTGAAACTCCTGTGAAACAAGGTGTTATGTTTTCTGCACTGCAGCGTATTCATATGAAGTCAAGGCCCCTCACAGCAAAGCCCAGGGCCTGTGGGGGTGTGTGTGTGTGCGCGCGCGCTCTTGTGTGTGCCAGACTAAGTGATAATCGCACCTAATCAAACGCAGGATGCTCCATTAACTGAAAAGGCTGAGACAGCACCCAGGCTCATTAAACGATCCGCCCCTAGTGAAGCTGGAGCTTGTTTTATGTTTCAGATCGAGCAGGAATTGCGTTGCATTTTACGGCTGTCTATAAAAAGCAGGCTTTGTAATTTACAAGTTCTGTCTGGGGTTTATTGTAAACAGCTCTGGATAATTAAAGCGCCATATTTCATCTTTAAACAATTAAGGATATTCCTTTACACACACTCGCAGAGAGAAAAGATCTCCATGTGCTGCCATTTGGCAAACCAGCTGCTTGGGTGGGGTGTAACAATAAACATATACAGAGGATTCATAATTTCATTAATTATAGCTATTAGCCAAAGGCTGTTGCGGAGTATAAATAACATGAATTACTAAAGATGATCACAGCTGGCCTGTTCCAGCTTCCTTCTTTCATGATTAACACTAAAAAAACACATCAATTTTTGCATTTCAACAAACACAGTAAGCATTAAGGAAATACATTTGTTGCTGCAACAAAGACTAGTTGAATATCCAAAACATGGAAGGTATTTTTCTTGTGCTGGGAAATCCGGACAAAGAGCAGTTAAAAAGCTTAAACAAATTACAGTCCTGATGTAGTAGTACTAAATGCAGTACTAAACAAATTATGGTCCTTTCTATCAGTATCTGCACAGAACTGGATTTGCATAGTTTTTCTACTCGCTTGTTTTCATGTGAGCAATTATGATCGTGTCAGTGCTGTAACAAAACATATCTATATGTATTTCAACAAAATATATCTACGGCCAATTAAATCTAACCCCTGCACTGAAAGAACACAAGTTGAACTAGCCAGGTCTCGACGTCCAACATGCTATTACACATCTGATCACATGAATTATTCTGCAAAATAGAAAAATGAATCCAAACTGACTACTAAAAAATCACGGGGCAGAGATCATATCGCTTCAGCCTAAAAACTGTTTTCTTACAGCTTTATAATAAGTTTTTCTGGTGCAGTGGAGAAATACAAACAGGGGTCACTGTGTAAGGTTTTTATAAAAGACATCTCTGCTGCACAGCACACTGTGCATTCATTTCTGTTCACTTACAGCATTTGCATATAAATATACAGCATTCCTAGGTATTTTGCATAACGGATGAATACCTCTTATCATTTAACCCACATTTCCAGATTAGGCTCTGCCAATATCTGCTTCTGGTTGTCTGGATGCTAACAAGGGCCCGGAAGCACTTACATATTCTAAAATAAATCTTTTAGAATGACATCACCCTTTCATCTGTGCTGAAGTCATCCTCTCAAACGGCAAACTGTCAGATCTGCCTAACAAAGAACACTTTAAAAGAACCATTTACTTAAAACGAACGCCGACTTGATTATATTTTGTGAGGAAAGCAAAGAGCGCAGGTATGGTTAGACGCTGAAACACGAGGGAGGTCTCGACCAGCAGGAGGACGGACCGCTATTTCCCCGATGTTGTGGTGAAGTCATGAGGCATGTTCGAACGAGGTTTCACCGTTTCGTTATTTGGAAACACGCACTCTTAGCACGCCATGAGGTCCTGGAGATGGCAGGTACAGTTAAAAGGCAGTCAGAAATCCCTTAAGTGAATCGCTGCTCTACAGTCAAGCCTTGCTAAATTTCCCAACAATGAGCAACACAGCAAAAAGCTGTGAAAGGCAAACACGCCCTGGTATTCCACTTTTATAGACTGAGCAGGATGAGTTCTATATATGGTTCCCTCCCTTTTGGTATTTGGTCATTGGAAAATCTAGGACAACACGACCAGGGGGACAGACGTTCGGTTTGTTGGGCAAGAGCAGGAATTGGTT